GCTGCAGGGTTAGGTTTCATCTGTGTAGGCTCCTCTCGTGCAGCAGAAGTAGGTCTGTGCTTTTCCCTGGCTTATGGACAGGAATAATGGAGCTGGCTGTAGCAGCCAGGTGTTTGTTGCCTGGCAGCATCACTGTGGGGATGCTGGTGTGACAAAGGAAGGGCTGCACACTCTACTGAAATGTGTGGAGTGGAGCAGCACAAATAACTTGAATGCGTCTGGGTGATGGGTCCAGAGTCATCTTTTGAGCTTCCACTCCTAATTTGAGAGGCAGGATGAGAAAGTAGAAAACAGTACAGGTGCTGTCAGCCTCCCAACAAATTCATGTCAGGCAAATCAATTACGTGATTTCTTAACAAGACTGTAATAAAAGCTTGCCTTGGAGACACTACTTGTGCTGTGCAAGGACACACTTCTAGGGTTAAGGTGGTAACAAGATCTTTTAATAAACGATTTTCTTCAAACTTCTTGTTCCTTACAGAATCTGTCACTCTTCCACTTCCTTTTATTCTTAACAGTGGCAAAGTAAAGGAGAGCCTCGTTCACAGCAAGCCATTACAGGTGTTATTGTAAAGGTTGTTGGACCCCTTTTCTTCTGAAGAAGGCTTTGTTTGAGAGAGAAATGACATGCTGATATAGAATGGTGTGGGGTGACAAAAATGGAGATAGTTATCTGTAAGAATTTGCATGGAGTGATATAAGAGGAGACACTGACAGCAACAGGTCTGCCTGGGGATACATCTTTAGGAAATGTGGAAATGAACTAAAGTTCTTTTGTTATTATTATTTTAATGGGTTTTGTGACAAAATTCATTTGACAAAGCTTCATCCTTTTACTTTTACTCCTCCTTCCGAGATGGAAGGAGGCTTCCAGAAAGCGTCATAATTCCAGTTCTGTTTGGTTCTCTGAATGGTTTAATTAAAAAACAAAAACAAACAACCCCCCCCCCAACTGCCTAACTTGATGTTGAGGGTTAGGGGTTTTGTTTGGGCATTTTCCTCTGTTTTCACTCTATCTTTTCCCCTTTGAATTTGTTGGGTTTTTTTTATAAACGGGTATTACAGTAGCAGCATTGAAGACATCTGGGGGAAAAGCCAGCTCCCCATGCCAGGCTGATTTTCAAGTCTTACTATAAGAACTTCTGTAATACTTCAGCTGCCTCTACCACCTTTTCCTTACCCCATGAGTATGTAATTTTAGCATGAACCTTTATCACTAAAAACATCAGTCATTGCTGCTTGAAAATGCTCAAGACTTTTCTAGACTGAATCTGACTTCTTACTTCATGAAATTAAAGTATGTGTTGGGAGTTCAGTGTGTGAAACCTATTTTTGGAACTGTTTTACATCAGTGTGCACCTACATGATGCTGTGTTACTGGCAACCAAAAAGAATCTTTCCTGGGAAAGACTTGAAATAGAAAACCCCTCGTGTTTACACTACTCTATGAAATGGCATGGTGGTATTTATGTAGAACTGTCTTGCAATGTTTACATCTAACACACCCTTATTAAAACATGGCCAATAATTTTTTTCCAATTATAAGACCCTTCTCTGCCTTGCTTACAGCTTTGCTGGGCTTTAATGATTTGTATTGAGTCACCAAGTATGTGTGTCTGACTGAATTGTTTTGTAAAACTTCATCCAAGAAGGCTCAGTTGCTTGTGGGAATGTGACTAAGAAAAATGTTTTCCCATATGAAAATATGATATTGTGAACTTCTGTTGGGGCGAAGGGCTGTTTTTCTGTAAATATTCCATCTCTAGAGCAAACATGGGATTTTAGTAAGAGAGATTGTGTTTCAGAAACACTCCTGCTCATATCCTGGAAGAAATTCATCCAATTTAGAGGTCTGAGGCTATAACAATCTCAGTGAATTCTCAAGGACTGAGAGTAAATAAAAGGACTGAGAGAGAGAATCTGTGAGAGAGTTATCACTAACTAGGAATAGGATGTAGGACTAAATAATGCTCCAAGTGCTGAAGGTGTTTGCTTTCTGTTCAACCCATGGAATACAGTCTGGGAAAGTAGGCTGGAGGGGACATGCCTGCAGACAAAGGAAGAGTTGTCCCGTGGGAGAGAGAGCGTGATGCTGCTCCAGAGAAATGAAGTTTCTCCCTGCCTTTCCCCCAGGATTCCTCTGTTGTAAGGGAGCTCACCTGGAGCAGTCATTCTGTGTGTGCTCCTTATTTACTGGGTGTCCTGCTTGCTACCCACTTGGCCCAATTGCAGAATTCCCAAGTTCTCTGTTAAACCAATTGGAGATCCAAGGTACACAAAATCAGGGAGGTGCCAGCTTCAGATCCTTGTGTGTACAAGTGGAGTGTTAGTACTCCCATACCTCATTAGAGTGCTGTAGAAATAAATTTGTTTCTTGACGTGAGATGAAAGTACAGAAGAGGAAACTTAAACATCTTAAGTTCAGAAGAATAAATAAAAGATGGGGTCAGACATTGCAAAGAAAGCTAAATATTGAATAACTGCTCATTAATTAAGTAGCATCAAACTGTGCACTGAGTAAATGAGGAATACAAGGGGGAAGGCAGTATTTTAATGTTTATTTAGCCAATGATGTATGGTAAGGCTGAATTGAGTTTGGAGAAGTCATCTTCATTCTGACACCTCCTCATTTTTTGAGAGCATAATTTTGCAGTCTCAATGTTGAAGAGTTTTGTGTGTGACTTGACTAGACACAGACTTTTTAAATGTCATTATTATTATTTAGCTAATTTATTTAAAGGCAGTTCTGCTCTTCAAGGCGGACCTGTGGGGACAACAGCACTTGCGTCAAAGTTGGAGCGTGTGTCTGTTCAGTGAGGTTCTGGGAATGCAGAAGGAGGATTGAGATGTGCAGCCACGCTTTTCCTCCTTGAAGCACTTTACAGAGCGTGCCAGATTGTGCAGCAGCTTTTGTGTAGTGTATCCTGAAAGGATTTGTGGCAGGTTCCCCGAAAGCTGGTTGTGTGGAACTGCTCTTTGTGAGGGCTTGAGCCCTGTGCAGTGGAACACAGCAGCCAATGCCCGTGTGAAAGCTGTCTGAGAGAAATTGGCCTGGTCTGCTGAGTCGTGATTAAGCTGTGCAGAAATCAGGTGTACAGATCTGCCGTGACCCAGGGCTTGTGTGACTAATGATGCCAATGGTAAATCACTGTGCTAGGGACCTAAGTGTTTCGGGGAAATGTCTTCATAAAGAACTGTGAAGTGGGAGTCCGTGAGGAAAGGATCTTTTATTCAGGGGAAAAAAAATAAATGCAGGGGTTGCTAATTCCTGAAAGTCTCAATCTGCACTGAAATTTGAATTTTCCATAGTATGTGTTAGAGCACCTTGGACAAACTTCATCACCAGATTCAGTTCTGCCATGTTTCTAAGTGTATATACTTTCTGTAGACTGCCTCACAGAAATGAGATTGGCTTTCTGGAGGGTGTGCTTTGTGTCTGATTAGTGAGGGAGGCTCTTCTGTAGATTTGTGGCCTCACTTGCTGAAGAGTGTGTATGGTGGATGCAGGATAAAATTGCAAGAGAGGGAATTCATTGCACAGTGTAGGCAGGGCTTAAGGGTCACTGGGAACCTGGTGGTGTGCAGCGATTGTTCTGCTGAAGACTCAAAAAGTTATGCTTTTAAAATTGCTGGGGATGACATGCTGTATGAATTGATGACTCCCAGGGTACTGGGAGCAGCACTTTTTGAATACACTGAAGTTTCTGTTCATGGGCTAAGCCACAAACAAGAAAAAAGTGTATGGCCAAAAAATTGTTGACCTAAAAAGACTGCTGGCACTATTTTATTGTTTTAAGTTAGAACTAAAGTTGGAAATTAAATGGTATTTTCCTGTGTCAGAAACATGAGTGTTAGGTTCTGAAAATATGTCAGTCCATGGATTTTGCTGTGCTTCCTTTAAAAAGCCAGAATTCAGAAAAACATAACTTGTGACTCAGTTGTAGTTGATGGCAAGAAGAGAAACCCTTTCTGGTGTTTGCTAACTCCTTCACATAGCACCATGTGAAAATGGCACACTCAGGTGTTCATCCCAGCCCTGTAATCACCTCTAAGCAGTAGGAAGCAATAGTGGGTGAATGCAGTTCCCTGGAGCCTGGCATTCCAGCAGCCCAGTGACAACATCCAGCAATCCATAGGTTTCCCAGTGCTGCATTTCCCCGTGATTGTTGCATCAGCCCCATTAAATTCTTTTCCCATCTTACTCTTTCCAAAAGTTATAAACAATTAGAGTTTATATAGGATAAAATAAATTAAAAGCAATTTACAGTCAAACTTTTTTTGCCTTTCTGTGGAATTTGGAAGAGGGGGAGGTCTCTCTTTGCTTGTCTGAGATAAAAAATCCAGCTGCAAAACCTGGTGTGGCTTGAATCTTCCTTTGGCCATGATATAGTTGAACGTTTCAGATGAACATGAAAAATGGTGAGAACCCTGGTACAAGTGGTGCATCTCTGGTGTCTGTTGCGTACTGTCAGAAGCAGAGGCAGAAACCTGCACAACCCACTTCTTCTGTGAAAGGTTTATTGGAGTGTGACTCTGGGAGGTCCAGCACAAGCACCATTCACTTGGCTGCTGCACTTTTCTCACTGGAAGGGGTCAGGCTCTTGGAAAGATGCCTGGTTAGAAGAGTAACAAGATGCTCCATATGGAGCCAGCTTTGTGAACTCTACTCTCTTTATATAAGTCCTGCCCCCTGGGGCAGGGGAAATAGTTCCCAGGAAAGGCATTTTAAGTTCAGCTGACAGTGGTATTGATAAGGGATACAGGTACATTTATTGGAATATGTTTCACTCTTCTGAATAGATTTCCTGCTGTGTTGTTAAAAGGGGACAGTTTCCTGAAATGCTTCATTTCAAATGACTAAAGAAACACTTTTCCTAGATACTGATATACTGAAAGATGTTGGATTCCTTGTGTTACTTTAAGGCAACAGCAGCAGCATTGCTGGAGAAGATAACTCACTACAAGAGTCAAAGTAAGTCTTTTCTTTCTTTACCTGGCAGGTTCCAATCCACCAAAATCTGAAAGAGCTCCTGGCCATCCGGGCAGAGCTTCAGAAGAAGGTTGAAGATTTGCAGCGGGAAGCTGCTACACGTTCCATTTCTTCCTCCTCTGACAGAGGTTCATCTCCCTCCCATTCTGCCACGCCAGTGCACACCTCTGTGTGATGTGGAACAAAAGCCATGTGAAAAAAAGCAGCATCAGGTAATACAGAGAGGAGGGTGAAATGCTTTTCCCATCACAAAAGGATTGTGAGTGACTTGTAATTGCTATGATCTACATGCCTTATTCTGTGTCTGATATTATCACAATGAGGCCAAAAAGAGCTTCAATAGATGTGATGTATTTTCTTGTTGGCAGTTCCCACATGTGTTTTGACATTCTAGCTAAATCACCAATTGTGAAATTAAACTTTGTTTTGAGCAACTAACAATTTAACCATCCTAAAAAGGAATCCATCTGCCAAGCAGACAGAAAAATGCCTCTCACACTGCGTAGGGTACCATGCCTGGTTGAGAGAATCAGATGAAACGCCACATGATGCTTACACAGAACGTTTTTCTGAATGGGAGCTCCTTATTTCACTCAGTAATATATATATATTTTTTTTTGCTAGAGCGATTTATTTTTTTTAGGGTGATGCACTTGGAAATTGATTTTAAAATAAATGTTTTCCAGTGTAGTCAGTTTTACATTTTGACTAAATATGCCATTAAAAGTGGATGCAGTTAAGCTGGATTTATCGAGTACACCACACTGACTTGTATGATGTAATATATTTGGTAAAGCATGTATTTTAGGTTTTTTAATGCCTTTTGTACAAGTTGAAATAAAGTCTTTTGACTGTTTAGCTTATTGTTCAGTTTCAGCCTCCTGGGCGAGGGGTAAACTTACTCATGTCAAGGTCTTGTACAAAGTAAAAGTTTGTTTTCTAGCAAATGGTAATATTTGGGGTTGGAATGACACCCAGCTGTGTAAATTGTATAGTCTGTATAGCTCCACATTGTTAAGTGTGTTTTGTTTCAGAGTGTACACACGAAACGCAAAGCTGTGTGCATTTATGCCCATGTGTATGTGATGTTAAACATATGCATCCTCCCGTGGGTTTAAGCTGTGTGTTCAGAAAATGGATCCTGCCTGTCCAAAATCTTTTGAGGACCTTAACTTGCAATGACTTTGTTTGACAAAGTTTTTGAGTAATATGATAATAATTGGTTTTCTTGAAATAAAGCCTCTTGGCTTTTTGTTTTTTAAGTTCCTACTAGCATTTCTTCCGTAAATGAATAATTTAACTGTGTTTTCGTGTAATATATACATTCCCAACTTTCTTTCATCTCCCCCCCAAAAATACTCATATCAGAGAGATTTGATTACTGTAACATTCCACCTTTTAAAAATTATTCAGTGGCCTTCCTGGAAGGCCCAGAAATGGTGCATGCTGCAAATTTTCCCTGGATTGTTTTCCTTGCCGTGTTTCAATGAAAATGTGGTTCTTCTCCTTAGGACACTTAAATATTGCAGCTCTGCTTTTTGACTCATGCTTGTATTGCTCTGAGTTCTGCTCGTGGGAACTAAGCCCCATTCTTAAGAGCCAGTTGACTCCCTATGCTGATTGTGGGTTTCAGTGACTGTGAGTACTCATTTGTTGCTGCACATTTGTTCCTAATACCGTCGGCGCTTTTCTGTCTCATTCTCTGCAGTAACTCCACACAGCACGTAGTTAATGAGCAAGGTGAGCTGCTGAGCACTTTCCTGACTTCAGCTTGGAAAGGCTGAAGTGCTGTATCCAGTCTTAAACGTTTACTGTGCAGTGCAGGGTATTTCAATATGTCCTTTTTACTGTAGTGAATGCTTTTTATAATAGATATTCACATACAAGAACAGAGTTTGAGAAGGCTTGCAATGTTGCATCTCTTGAACCTCAGGCTTTTTATAAAGACGTGAAAGATGTTTTCCTGTAAAAATGGTTCTGCTGAACAGTGTGCCAGCAGTGAATTTTACATTGCCAAAATATGTTGAGATGGTATTGAATTAAACTCTTCCATACTTTGGATTTCCTTGACATTTTAACTGTATATTAAAGTAAAGCACATTATCTCTAAAATGCAGTGCTAAAGAAAATCTTTTGAAGTTTTTCTCTTTATTGGTGCTAATAATCACAACATTTTCTCTGTAATTATTGCAAAAGTGATGACTGGATTTGCTTGGGCATTCTGAGATTTTTAAAGCTTGGATTCCTAGAGCTAAACTCAGAATTTGGTTTTGCACAGAAGAACACCAGTTATTTCAGCTGACTGGCTGCACATCCACCAGTTTCAACACAGCTCAGCGAGTCTCTGATCTGCATGAGAGCACTGGGGGAGGGTCCTGGTGTCCTGTGTCAGCACAATGGATGGGTTTGTACGTACTTCACATGGAAATACTCGAAGGTATTCTACAGCTCATATGTGCTAGTTAATTGAAGAGGTCACTGTCACCATACTCAGTCTGCTTCCTGATAATCAGATTTTTTTCCTGTTGCTTTAACAACTAATTCTGTCATTACTTTTTTATTGCTCAATAAGGTGGTATGGAATTAGTTAAGGAGAGAGCAGAACCCTGTTCCCTGTCTGATGCACTTTGGACAGAACTATCAACTTCTGGTTCAAAAGCTGGAACTTTTTGCTTTGATTTTTGGTTTTGACTCTGCTGGATATAAAGGGAATGTGCAAAGACAGCAAGCAGTTGTGTTTGGCCTGTAGGATTTTCCTGTTGTCAGTGATGTCATTGACAATGTGAGAGGGGGAACAACCCACATCCAGTGTCCCAGAGTGGGATGAAGCCTTGGTAACCAGCTGACACATTTTTTGCTGGTAGAGTAAGTCAAGTGAATCGTCAGCATCAGACACTTTGCCATTATAGTTGTTTCAGAGCTGAATTTGCATTTCTTTCTCCTTTGTAGATAAAAGTAATATTTTGTTGTTTCATTAAAATGGAAGAAGGCTTTTAAATCTGGTAAACACTCCTATCTGCCTGGTTCTGTTCCCTGCAGAGGCAGCCTTCTCAAGGAGTTAAAGCTTTAAACAAGAAGTGTTTCATTGCTTTCATTTTCCAAGAAAAGCTGTACTAATTCATATGCTGTATTGTAGTAACACCGAGAACAGCTGGTTCTCTATAAGCTGGAAATGAGACAACAACTCTCATTCATGTGCATTAAGCCCCACAGCAGAGGACATAGTGAAAGGGGCAATTCAGATTATTCCCCAAGTGAAGCATTTATGGTAGAAAACAAAAAGGAATGTCCACTTGCAAAGAGATCACATCTGCTGAAGTAAGTGGGTATCATAGAGAGCTTCTACCTGCCAGATCTTGTGCAATTGGGAAGAAAGAGTTTTATCTCCACAAGAAGCACGAGTCAGAAGTAGCTAGTTTGAAATATAAACCACCCTTTTTGACTGTGAGACTGAGCATTGCATCACTATACAAAGGTCAAAAGCTTAGTTTGCACTGCGTGGGAGATTCATCTAGTGGGTGTGAAAATCCAAAGAAAACTTTCCTGGATTTTGCAGGAAACCTAGGGCAGCAAAGAGGGCCAAAACCCAGCCAAAAAGGACCAAACTCAGCCATGCTGAGTGCAGCCAGGGGCACAGGGCACTGCCTCAGGTAGAGCTGCTGGGTGACCTTAAGGGGAGCACACGTGTGCGTGCACGTGTGCAAATACTTCATTTTTACCATTACATTACAGTTTTCATAATGATATTTGGTTTTATCAAAAAGTTCAGTTTGGGGTTTTTTTACATCTTTGGGGTAGTCACAGAAGAGGTGATGTGCTGTAAGGATATAGCCCACCACTTGCAGTTTACTTGCACCATGAAAAAAAAAAAAAGAGAAAAAAATCAAGCTTAAAATGTCTTACTAGTCAACTTGGTTTATTTGGTGTTTTCCAAAGGTAGTCAAATTCTGATTTTCCCCCCATATCCCTTACATGCACATTAACAAAAGGAATCATTTTTTCTGAGAGCGTAACATTCAACCTCTATTTGGAACAGGTTGCTTCTGCAGCAGCAAACAATCTGCCTGCCTTTAAGTGAGAACTTCACTCAAAAGAAAAGAATTCTCTAATTTCACAATCCCGTTGTTTCTGAACTTCCTTTGTTCCTGAACCTCATCTGTTGCAGAAGCAATTTTTAAAGCCTCAGCCTGTCGACTCATCCTATTTTTTCAGAATCTGAAATGGTATTGTGGACTAATTCCACTTTTATCACAACAAATGAGTAGTTAAGGATGACAATAGAGCACTTGTAAGGGTTAGTTAGTGGGGTTGCATGAAAATGACTGAGTTTATAGTGCCAAAAATCTGAAATTCATGTCAGAGTATTCTCAACTGAGGAATCTAAAACAAAGAAAGTACTACAGTACTGCCAAAGGAAAATGCAAGTAATTGAGAGAATAAACAACAGAAAAAGAGCCAGCTGAATTCTTTCAGTTCTCTCTTTTCTCTGTCATTGACAAACCTTTTCTGAATCATTTTATTACCATTAAAAATAGCTTTAGTTAAGCTGAAGAGAGGTCATTAAAAAAGCACAGGTAGTACAGAAACTCTCAGGACATCTGTATATATAGGTTTTGGACTCATGAAAAAAATCCCAGTTTTCCAGTGTTTTGTGGCCTTTCTTTATAAAGTTCATACCATATATACAGAACTTAAATGCAGGATTTTTAAAAATTCCATATTCAGATTTAAAGAGAATATTAATTAAATGAAACTAGAAGTCAGTGCTGGGTCAGCTGTTCCAGAACTCAGATCACTACTAGGAAAATACACAGGAAGCCTCTCAGTTGCTATAATGCCTAAAATATGGATGATGTATAAAATCCGTTTCTCAGAGACTGGTCTGGCAGTTCAGATGGAGAAGGGGACAGCAATAATTTGAGCCTTTGCTGACATTTCACACTAAGACTTTGACTTTTGTCCAGTTTTGAAGAGACCAAGTTTAATTTCCTTACTGCAGCATTTGCCAATATTTTCCTATTTGAAATCCTAGAGAAAGAGATCTTGAATCCCGTTACTGGAAATTTTGCGAGTGTTCTCTTTCACTGTGCATTTGTGGATTTCCACATACCCAGACATTACACCAAAGTCAGAGAAAAGCCTTGGGCATAGGAGCAACTTCTGAGTCCCAAAAACTGGGTTGGGTTTTTCAGTGAAACCCCTTGCTGCCTTTTTTTTTTTTTTACTTTAAACTGCAGAACTGCAGTATTTTGAATTAGACTCGTGTTTCCTCTATGTCCTGATGTAAGAGATTCCCAAAGGAGCAAGAGGGGCTGTGTTCTTTGAGCCACACTGGACTCTGTTGCACTCTCCTCTGGTCAAACAGGGAGAGCAGGGGAAAACCCCTGACCTGCATCTACAGGAACATGGACATGGGCAAAGGGAAGAACGGAATAGTGGTCGCTGGATCTAAGCTGGGAAAGCGGCTTCTGGTGATCATCAATGCCATGCTGTAACACTTCATCTACAATAACTTCCAGAAAACACATTTCATGCTACAGCTTTCAGGTGTGTTTGGGTAAGAAAAAAAACAGGTGCTGGTGCTTGGGACTGGAGATTCACAAACTCAGCTGGGCTGGCATCAGAGCGCCTGCATGTGATGATCCAAATCCTGCAGACCACACTTCCTCCATGAAAACCTTTCTCTGGGAGTAAGCACAGAGTGCATCCCATCTCTGTTTCTTCTGCTTCTGTTATGTGAGCAGCCAATAATTAAATATTTTTCTTTCCTATTCCAAACACATCCATAAAACAAAGCAGCAATAGTTTGTAGTAGTATTGTTTTAGCCTAAGTGTTCTGGATAGTCACGAGGCACCTTATAAACCACTGTAGCTGTTCTGCTAGAGCTAGTGTAAGGCTTTAAAAATGCAAGTGTTAAAAAGAGCATAAAGAATTGTGCAGCTATTGCAAAATACTTAACCAAATTACTAGGCAATTTCCTTCCAAATGGAACTGTTAGGCAGCGATACTCCTGGGCTGATTCCCCTCCTGGCAAGGCCTTCTGGAAGCCAGGTCTACCTGAAAGCTGTGAATTTGTACATCAAACTAAAAAGGTTTTTTTTTTAATATGTATTCACAAAATATGGGGTTTGCAAACCAATACAAAATGCTCACATTTTAAGTTTACATATAAATAACGAGTACCTCTTACACTATGTAAAGTGAAATTTCATTCACTTGAGAGCATGCTTTTTTTAAGTAATCATTGATTTGGACAAATGT